ACCATATCAATAAAGCCAAAAATAAGAATCACATGATCATTTCTATAGATGCAGAAAAAGCCTTCGATAAGGTTCAACATTTATTCATGATAAGAACTTTAAAGAAAATTGGAATAGATGGTCTTTACCTCAATATAATAAAGGCCATTTATGACAAACCAACAGCCAGCATCATACTAAATGGCCAAAAATTGAAAGCCTTTACTTTAAAATCAGGCACAAGGCAAGGATGTCCTTTATCACCACTCTTGTTTAATATAGTACTGGAAGTACTAGCCAGAGCAATTAGGCAAGAGAGAGAAATAAAAGGGGTAAAGATAGGAAAAGAAGAAGTTAAATTACCATTCTTTGCAGATACATGATACTCTACATAGAAGACCCCCTAAACTCCATTGAAAGACTCTTAGATACAATAAATAAATTCAGTAATGTGGTTGGATACAAAATCAATACTCAGAAATCAATAGCATTCCTATACATGAACAACAAAATCACAGAGAGGGAAATAAGAGAAACTGCACTCTTCACATTATGAAGCAAAAGAATGAAATATTTAGGAATTACTCTTACGAAAGAAGTGAAAGACCTATACAGTGAAAATTATAATACACTGAAAAAGAAAATTGAGGATGATCTCAGACAATGGAAAGACATCCCTTGCTCATGGATAGGAAGAACAAACATTGTGAAGATGGCCATTCTCCCAAAACTATTGTACGGATTCACTGCAATCCCAATAGAAATACCGTCAACATACCTTATAGATCTAGAGAAATCACTCCTAAATTTCATCTGGAACCAGAAGAGACCTAGAATAGCAAAGGCAATTCTAAGCAGCAAAGACAAAGCAGGAGGCATCACAATCCCTGACTTGAAGTTATACTACAAAGCAACAGTAGTAAAATCAACATGGTACTGGAATCAAAACAGAGCCGAAGATCAATGGAATAGATTAGAAGATACAACAACAACTACAAACACACTCAATCACTTTATCTTTGATAAAGGAGCCAAGCAGGTTCACTGGAAGACTGACAGTCTCTTTAATAAATGGTGTTGGAAAAACTGGCTCTCCCTTTGCCAAAAACTAAAGCTAGACCCATGTCTATCACCATGTACGAAATTAAAATCTAAATGGGTCAAAGATCTGAATATTAAAACAGAAACACTAAATCTATTGGAAGTCAAGTTGGGTAGAAACCTTGAAGACATAGGACTAGGTAGAGAATTCATGAACAGGACTCAAACCGCACAGGAAATACTTCCCAGAATCAATAATTGGGGCCACTTCTTATTAAAAAGTTTCTGCACATCAAAAGAAATCTCCAGCATAGTGAAAAGAAAGCCCACAAACTGGGAAAATATTTTAGTGAACTCTCTCTCAGACAAGGGACTCTTGTCTAAAACATATAAAGAATTAAAAAAACTCAGACCTCCAAAATTCAAAGATCCAATCCAAAAAATGGGCATCTGAGATGAATACACACTTCTCAGATGAAGAAATGCAAATGGCAAATAAATACATGAAAAAATGTCCATCATCATTGGTCATTAGAGAAATGCAAATTAAAACCACACTGAGATTCCATCTCACTCCTGAAAGAATGGCCAGGATCAAGAAAACCTACAACAACAAATGCTGGAGAGGCTGTGGGTAAAAATGAACTCTCCTGCACTGTTGGTGGGCATGTAGACTTGTGCAGCCTTTGTGGAGGTCAATCTGGAGGATTCTCAAAAAGCTAGGATTGGAATTCTCCTTTGTTCCAGCTATTCCACTTCTAGGCATATTCCCAGAAGAACTGAAAGCATCATACCACAGTGATATATGTGCACCTATGTTTATAGCAGCACAATTTGCAATCGCCAGATCTTGGAAACAACCCAAGTGTCCATCAATTGAGGAATGGATAAAAAAGTTGTGGTATTTCCAAACAATGGAGTATTATTCAGCTATAAAGAAGGATCACATTGAGATATTTATCAATAAATGGGCACAGCTTGAGACCATACTCATAAGTGAGATAAATCAATCTCGCATGTGTGAATACCAAATAGTTTCCCTAATGTAAGTAATGATTCAAATATATAAAAATATGTGGTAATCATGATTCCCCATTATGTGGCTTTGAAGCCTTATAAAGTTTTCACTTATTAATTGGAAAGGCCTTATTCTGGGCTTCTTGATATGGAAATATTTGAAGCTATAGTATATGAAGTTTTATTCAAATATTTCAAGGAAAAAGACAGACACTATGGTAACTACTCTTAAGTTGGGTTATTTGGTGGTGAAGCACTAGGTTGCTGAAACTGTCATGCTTTGACCTGTATTGTTATATTGTTATGTCCTGTTTTATCTCAATCTCTCCCTTATTCTTTAAAAAAAATTATTTAGTTATTTCTTATGTTTGTTTTAATTAAGGGGAAAAATTTTAAAAATTAGCAGGATATATAATAGTAACTTTGTTTGATTTCCTATTAACTTGTTTTGTATTCCTGTAATACTCCCACGATCTTGTTTTGACTGATTAGACTCTGTTCCATTCTGTATGATAGTATCAAGTTTGAGGGTATAGGCAACTACTTTGAAGGCAATAAGATTCACTAAGATGCCCATTCTGGTTTGACTATTGTCTCCTTTGGAAGTCCTGTAATGTTTACAGTGCTTAAGTATTATTGGTCTTGTTCTATACTGTTTTGTTCAACTTTATAATATCTAATGAGATAGACAATTCTTTTTAAGGAAACAAGACACACCGTTGATAACCATCGTTGATAACCTTGTACTCTGTTTTACACTATGTGCTATATCTATCCTTGGTTTTGACTGACAGCTTTGTTTTGCCATATTTGACTTTATTCTCTCCCCCCCAAAAAAAAGTAATAAGAAGTAAGGAGTAATAAAACCCAAGCTGTGTAAATTTTATTGTAAAAAAGAGAGGGGGGAAAAAAGAGCTCTAAATGATACAACAGCAAGTGTGTTTAGGGGTGTTAAATAGCTGACCATATTAATGTTTTTGGTTGGATCATTGAACACAACTGTTTGCAGTCTCACTGTTTGAATGTCCACTTTGTATTCTTTGATACTGTGATTTGAGCAACTATTTTTAAGACGATAATATGTAATCTATTAACTGGTGATTTCTTACTGTTTTTTTTTTTTTTTTTTTTTTGTAGTTCTGTATTACATGTACCCTTACACCGCTTTGTTTTGTTTTGTGTTTTTCTCTTTTTCCTTTTAAATAAAATTTAAAAAAATATCAAACCTTATGAAGAATTTTTAAATGACAAGTATTTGGGAAGACAAGTATGCTTGAACATTCTGTGATGTATATACATGTTGAAGACTAAGTGGCACCCCAATACTTATAGTGAGTACCAGTTTACAAAGTTGAAAGACTATGTACATAACTTTGTTATGTAGGCAGCTATATAAATATAGGACAGAATTTTCTAGAAATTATAGCAACAATTTCCAACAGTACATAATCTCCTTCAAGTCCTCTTTCATCTCCATTTCTTCATTTGATAATAATAAGCGCACTAACAACTTGATCTCATCACTGCATAATTTCAGGTAGTGGGTACACAGTTGGGTTGACAACTGTCAAGAATGTGTGGAAGGGTTTGAAATGTTCACGTGTGAGTTTTTGGAGTTCTGGGCATTCTTGACTATGGTTTGGCCACTAATGATAGTTTAGGTCAGTTTTAGTTAGATTATGAAGGATTCTGTGAATATTCTCAAGAAAGTTCTAGTCTTCTGCTGAACTTTTAGATGTATATATTCATTTTCCTCTTTTATTAGTACATGGTACATAATAAGCACATTCACTGTGGGGAGTTGGTACATGCACATATTGCACAAATTTATCTCACCTTCCCTTCCTCTGCCTCCCACTCCCCCATCACCAGTACCCTTCCTCATCTCCCAAAAGGTTACTTCCCTGTTTCCTGTGATTTATCTTTTACTTTGCTTGTACCTGTTGATGTTCCTTTCTCTAAGAGTACTGATGAGGGAAACTGACCAACATTATTTTTCCTCTCTGCCATGGTTTGGATGGTGCTTGTCCCTGGCCCCCTGTGTGGGAGGCTTCATCCTAAGTAGGGCAGTGTGAAGTGTTGGATGCTTTGAGAGCTGGGACCTATCTGTAGGTGAGGAAGTTGCTAGGGCACTTTTCTCAGAAGATATTAAGGTATTGTTCATGGAACTGCTTGGTTTCCATGATAATGAGTTATAATGAAAATGCAAAACTGGCCTCTTTTTACTCTGTCTTTTTATCTGACCAAGTGGGCTCAACCTCTTCTACACACTCCCGCTTTAAATCACCCACCATGCTGTGATATAACCAGAGGGCCCACTTTAGAGCCAAGAAATGCTGGAGCCATGCTTCTGAACATTCAAAATTATGGGTTAAATGAACCTCTTTTCTTTACAAATTATCCAGGCTAAAGCATTTTGCCAGAGCAATCAAAATCTGGATAACAGAACACTCTGGTAAGATAAACATTTCCCTCATTCATAAAAACAGAATCATAGGTTGGAGAGAAAACAAGGTCATGCAATAAATATCAACTGGAAATGTCTCAGTAAAATATGAGGCTCTTTTTCTACTAGGTGCTTGGTTGAGATACAATGATGGTGTGGTCATTACTGCTATTTGGCCAACATGTTGACATGGAATGAGCCTTTCTGATGATTTTTAAACCATGGAATTTTAATCCATGGAATTCCCAACCATATAAACGTAAATGTCACATTTATATTGTGTGATGTACACACGCTATTCAGAAAATGGCTTTTCATATTCTTCCAACTGCCTGTCTTCATCAGGATGTTTCAACAGTCTCGTGCACAACACATCCTAACACTAATGTCTGCAGAAATAACCACTCTTGTTCCCACATGAATGACTGGAAGTTGCCGTGACTCATTTAACATATTTCAAAATAAGTACACAACACTATGAGGAACAAGAAGTCAAGTGACACTATTGCCATGAAAAGCAACTGCTTACTGTGGTTTAGCAAACATTCTTAGTAAAGACTTTAAGATTTAGAAAAAAATCTGCGGAAAGGAGAATGCAGAACTAAAGTGGAGTGTGTGGAGGTGGCTGTATTTGGATGCAGAACCTAAGAACTTTCCCCAAAGAGTGACCCTCATCATCCACACCCGGTGTAGACACTGAAAACCTGAAGAAGGTAGGTACGGAGCTGTGCCCTCCTCAGCTTTCATGCTGATAGGCTTTCATTCACTCTTTCTATAATGTGTGAGAACAGAATGAGAAGAACTAAGCCTCTTCCCATGGCACGGCTGGTGTTCTGGGCTGGAAGAGGTTTAAGTGTAATCTTTTCTGCACATTTAGAAAATACAGGAAATCTATGGCATGCATGCCACATGGGCTCTTTGTTATCACTGAAAACTCTAAAAGGTCCACCATCCCTGATTTAGGACATTTTGAATTTGACTATGGTTAATTCTACTAGATTTAATATCACTGTGTTTTTATAATAGTAATTATCATCTTTCAGCTGTTCTTTTCAATTTTTATTTTTTGTTTTTATGCATTTGTATATATTTATTATATATACTTAATTGGTCATGAATTCTTTAAGTGCACAGTTTTTATTTGCCTGGAAACCCCCTTGTTTTACCCTAAGTTTTGATGTACAGATTTCATTGAGTGGGAGCTGTCCTCTTTCTTTCTTTACTTTGAACTTATTCTTCCATTATCTTTTGGCCCACATGAATTTAAGTTGAAAAATCAACTGGTAAGAATAAGAATACCATGCATTTACCATTTTTTTTTATCTTGCTGAATTTTCTTTGTTCTCTGTGGCTCTGACCTTTGACAGTTGCTAACATGTACTGTGGAGGGCCACTGGCCTTAAATATCACTGGGACTCTTTTAAGCGTCTTGGACCTAGATGCTCATATATCTCTTAGGAGTTGTAAAGAACTCACCAATTATCTTATTAATTAAATATTCTATTCCTCTGTGTGTCTCTTCTGTTACTACTGCTATTTTCAATCTGTTGAGGATTCTTTTGCTCAGTTTAGATGGAAATTGTGGATTATCAAAGTGCAGCTCTGCTAGAAGCCCTGATATCACCTGATTATGCTGAACACCTTGAAAAGTCAACAGAGCTTCCTGATGGCCATTACCACTGTCAGTGGTAGTGGTGGCCACTAATTTGTGCTGTGTGCTTGCTTCTGCTCCAGATCTTCATTGGGTGCAGGTCTCTGTGGTTCATCAGTGCTAATATCCCATAGTGTCTATTGCCATTTCCTTTGAGATAACTACTCTTTCCACACTATTCAGGATAACAATCCTAGGTAAAATTACAGGAACTTGAGAGTCAAGAAATGAATAATGAGCAGAACTCAAGGCCACTGAAGCTAATCTTTATTTTGACAGAGCCTGCAGTGCATCACAGGGGATGTGTATACTGGAGCCCTCCCAGATTAATCTGAGAAGTGACTTTGTGTGCTGCTTATGTATCGCTTCAAGTATTTGATTGGTCCAAATGAAAGCTTGTGATTGAACCAGGAGGTGTCTAGGATACCTGTCATGAAGGAGATGAGTAAGGGAGTGGTATGAATTGAGCTGTTTGACAGTTGTTATGCCTTTGTGACAAAATGTTGGGACTGAAACTAGGGACTGTCTAAGTGTTAACTGTGTTCTTGCAGCTAACAGGAGTTTGGAGATGCTGGGATTGTTAAACAATGCCCCCAGATCCTCTCTCCATTACTTAGCCTCAGATGCGTGCACCTCATTTCTTCAAAGAGGATACACGGCATGCAAAGTGGTGGCAATGGGAGAAGGGTACAGAGGCTGTCAGTCCAGCTACTTGGGTCAGGGAAGCTTGGAGAAGAGTGGCTGCTAAATAACCAGGAAGAACACCAACATCTATTGTCCCTGTCCCCTGGGACAGTGAGGGGGAGCCAAGAGAAGGGGAAGGGACAGCTATTGTCCAACTCAGGTCCCCTCTGGCCAACTGAGAAAGAGAGTCAGGCACTTTTTGTCTTTCCCACTGCCACAAGGTGAACATGTTGTCATTAGCAGTATTCCACCACTTCCTTCAGTTTTCTTCATTTTTTCATTGCTCTTTTTCTCATTGTTCATTATTGCAAAAGGCCTATCCATAAATTTTCAGTTTTATTCCTTTTGATTTAATATGATATCAAACATTTCTATTGTATTTAAGTTTTATTTATTGAAGTCTTCATCTTTGGTGGTTCTGTTTAGTTCTGTTTTATGAACATACTTTTTATTGTAGTTTGGGGTTTTCAAGGAGAACAAGACAATACAGGACACATAACATATATCATTATTTATAATGGTCACCCCAGGAGTCAAATACAATGAAAGTGCAGGAAATCTGTCCACACACTAAAGACCTAGATAATCTAGTGAAAGCCTCGATCCCATGGAAATATCCTATATGAGTTCAGCTTAAAACCTAGTGCCCATGGCAGTGCCTTCCATGAGCACAACTGAGGCCTAGAGCCCACAACAAAGACATACAAGTCTATTTCATGGATCTATACAGAGAAGGCCTGAAGGTCAGTACTGGAAGCTACAAAGTCTGTGCCAGCAGGGTGAAGGATCTGTGCCAGTTGGTTGAGGGCTCTGCACTGGAGCCAGCAAGCAATACTCAAAATCAGAACTAGAGCCCCCCTCAAAATTACCACAGTCACGCTCAGTGACAATGAGGTTCCAAAATCCTCTGATGATGAGAACAGCTGAGTTCATATCAGGAAGCCAGCTTGATAAGCTTCTTCTGGAGACTGAGTAGCATTATCTTCCACTCTGAAGCCAGCAAGTGATGCCCAATGTAAGGACCAGAGCTTCACCAAAGTGATCCACAGCCATTCTAAGTTTCAAAATCTTGAGCTCCTCCAAGGATAACAGCTGAGTTCATACCAGGAGGCCAGCATCACAAGCTCCTACAAGTGAATCAAGAACTCCAAACAACACTTAGAACCCCCAATGCTCCTCTCTTCCTCTCATCTTCTTTTTATACTGACACTAGTCCTCAGGTGAGCCAACTACACTCAATACCACACCGATTTGCTTTTAAATTTCTCCTTATAGCATAAATTGCCTACCTGGTTTCACAATGTGATGTATCTGCAATCTTGTATCTAACTCAGTTTCCTTAAGCAGAATAATTGGAATATGTTTTCAGTCAGTTCTTGAATTTCTTTCTATTTGGATCAGGCATTGCAGAATTTCTGTACTCCTGTGGCACTGTGAGATCTCCTTGTTTCATGTGTGTTTATGTATATTTTCTTTTGTCCCTGAATGTTCTTCCCCAGAGTGAGAACTCTTAGCTGATGTCTTGTCTGATGTGCTCCATACACATTCATGGGTTTTGCAAAAATATGGCGGGTTTTGCAAAAGCACTGCATCATATGAGGCATTATTACTGCTTTCTCACAAAGTCAAAAGCAAATGAAGATTTTCCAACACCCTGTGGTCTTTACCTCGGTGCACACCTCAGAGGTTAGGCAACCTAGGCAGAGCTGGAAATGGGACTGTTTAGTCATGGAGACCTGTGCACAGCCTCAGCCTGACTCTGGTAAACCCAGTGCCATAAAGGCTCATGATGTTGGGTCACTTTCCACCTTCAGGTTTTCTCAAACATGTTTCATGAAGAACCTGTAGTGTGGGTCTCAGGCCACAGTATGGTGACCTTGAAAGGTGAGAGTTGCGCATGACTCTACCATCACCCCTGTGGGGTCAGGTGCAATACAGAAAACATCCAGGAAGAGCAAGGCCCCACTGTGACTTGGGCCCCATGGAGCCACCCTGTGACATCTCCACTCCAGGGATGCAGGCAACCTGGGAAGATCACAGTCTGAGACAGTAGTGCAGATCCAGGTAGTCATGCACATGCTTTTTGGAAGATAGTGTGACAGCTCAAAGGCTCTGATTCACTAGGCCCCAGGTCACCATGTTATTTTTACCTCAGAAGACCCCATGAGTCTCTGCTTCCCCATGAGCCATGTGACCATTTCAGCCTGGGTGCAGGGAGAGGCATGACTCTAGGTCTCTGCAGGGCAGGGCACTGCGTCACCTCAGGCATCAGATGAGGTGCTGTGTGGGCCCTGGTTGACCATGATTCTGTGTTCCAGTGAAAAAGGATTAATTTCATGTCTGGATTCTCGGGATCAGGTTGCCCCAGTACATGGGCTGGGGAGATGGAGCAACTCCAGGGCACCTAGGACACAGAGGTATCTGCAACCACAGCCTTCTCTGGGATGGTGAGCAAAGGGGGACTTGATACAGTGATGCAGAGTCCTCAGGCTCACAAGAGTGCTGTGATCAGCTGTCCATGATACAAGATTGCACTGTTAGTCTTATCTGGCATAACTATCAGAACTGCAAGTGTGCAGTGAAGTTACAACTATTAATTGTTGTCTGTTTTCATCCTCAGGGCTGTGAACAATAATTTTGTGATTTAAATTTCAGAAAATTTTCCATCTTGTGTAAGTGTACTTTGAAATTTTTAACCATGGTCTCCTGCTCCATTGACGCAGTCTCCATAATTCCTCTCAAATGCATCCTAATGTGACCTTTAACAAGCATTATACATAGGAATTTAATAATTCCTATAGTTTTGTAACTTTCATTAGAAACTAGAGTTCTAATCCTGCATCTGCTAGTAGTTTTTGAGACATTCTTTAGAGACAAAAAAAATAATATTTTGGTTTATTTCTCATATCTGCATCCTGATTTTAAGTATTTCACTGTGAATCACATGTTCCTTACTACTTACTGATAGTATTCCCTATTCTTGCTTTTAAAATAATTTTAATGATTTACCATTTCATACTTTCTTTTGACAGCAACCATAAATTTGAACATATAATAAAATTAATTTTTTCTTCTCCTCCCCTTGTCTTTCTTTGAAATTCAAGCTCCATCTTCCTATTTCTGTCAGTTTTATTGCTAGATAGTTCTCTCAAATACAAAAGCAAGTTGATTATCTGGAGAAATCTGAAATCCTATTCATAACATAGACAATTTGAATAGAGTATTTAAAATTTTTTTGAAACCAATAAAATTGCACATGTTAAACATGAAGTTAAACATGAAGTATTTATGGAATAAAGAAGCAGAAACAGTATCAGAATCAACTGTGTACTTAACAAGTTTTAGGGTTCACTTTTATCAACAGTTATGGAAATCAGCTTTGAAGCATCTCAATATGGATTCAAGTGAGTACATGAAGAATTCACTTACCTTAAACCTACCCATAGCCACCCGGCAGGAGTCAGTGTATTCACCAGAGAAAAACACATAAGGCTATTAATTTGGTGCTAGTATACTTAGAAAACAGTGTGCTAGTATACTTAGAAAACAGTGTTATGTGTTTCCCTGTGCATCAGTTGCCAGGATTTAAAGCACCATATCATGAGGATTTAAATTTGTGGTGACAAGGATGCTAGAGCCACAAATTCCATCTTGAAAATTCTGAGTTTATAAGACAGAATTCCAGATTTTGTAAATCACACTGAGTATGGAGATGGAACAGGAAAAGGTTCCAGCTCTGAGAATGTACCTGTATTCTGAGCAGGAAATGGGACCATTAAATATCACATGATGCATGTTAGTGCAGATCACTTACATCGTTATCTTTCAGTGGGAGAAGTGGCTGTCACTAAAGGAATAAACTGTAGTAAGAAGAGAGACAAAATATAACTAGCCTGGGACTATGGACTTGAAGTTTTTGCATTGGTGGAATCCATAATACTTAACTCATGCTTATATGAATTTCCCTCTCTTTACCACTTTCTATCATTCTGCTATCACATAATCCTGCATTAATGTATTGTTGTTGTTGTTGGTGGTGGTGTTTTCATTTTTCTGCCCTTAGACAGCTACAACAGTGTAGAAAGGGAGTGTCTTTTAGAATTTGCCCTTCTTGTGGAACTTGATCCAGAATGTCATGTTCTTCTCTTGTCATTTGCAGGACCTCATCCTACATCATTTTCCAGCATTTTCTCTGCTGCCATCGAGACCATGCAAGGAATGGAGGAAACCACAGTGAAAGCAGGACCTACTGTATCGCAACAGGGGAGGCCTGTGGATCTCTACTCCTATCAGTGGAAAGGGATGAAGGAGAAATTCTTGAAAGGGCAGCCTAAGGTCCTTGGTGTAAGTCAGCTGCAAATCGGAGAGGACAATGATGGCATAGTAAATTCATGCCTGATCAACATAATGCTGACCACTCTATTGTAAGGGCTCAGAGCACAGCAGCTTGTCATGATAGCAAGTGTTTAACATTCAGGCTGTGTCACTGGAAAATGATACTATATTCATTTACTCACATTGTGGTTCCAGTTTAGTTGTATTTTATAAGTATTTCAGGTGCCTCACGAAAGGGATGTCTAACGGAAAGGTTTATCTCAGCCTAAAGTCTAATCCACTGAGTGAAAATCATGCTGGACTCTGTAGAGCCTTTTTTCCTTATTATCTCCTATTTTTGGTAAATTTTGGAAATCCTGTTTTCATGGGGGTTATTTATGTTGCCACATACCGGGTTTACTTTTAAATATGTTGATAAGTACTTTCAAATAGCCTTTACTTTGTAAAGGTGCTTTAGGTTTATAACAAAACTGAGAGGAAGGACAGATTGTTTAACCATGTCTGTTCTCATTTGTGCATAAAATCACTATTATCAATCACTCTCACTTATGAGTGGCTATGCTGCAATTGATGAACCTCCACTGACCCATCAGTGTCACTCACAGTCTGTGTACATAAAAGTTCACTCTATGAGTTCTACAGCCTATGATTTTTGGAAAATGTACAAATGCATGTGTTCATTTATTGCAATATCAGGCAAAGTAATTTCACTTCCCTAAAAATTTTCCATACTTTGCCTAATCATTTTAACCTCCCATGAATCACAAATGCTATTACTTTCACGTTTTTATAGTTCGCTTATTCCAGACAGTCCATCATAAAGTTGGATTTATAAAGCATGCCACCTCTTTTGATACATTTCTTTGACTCCATAAATGTTAGACTTCCCCCAATTTTATGACAATATCTCATTTAGCATTAATAAAAATGCTGCTGTTTGAAGGTGCCACCATTTATTCACCTATTTATCTATTTAAGGGCATCTGAGTTGCTTCTAAAATTTGGCAGCTGTGCATAAAGCTTCCTAAATATTCATGTGTACATTTTCCATACACCATTTTTCAGCTCATTTGAATCAGCATGATAGGTAGATCATGTTTTAGTCCATTTTGTATTGGTACAACAAAATACATGAGGTTTTGTAACATCTTACAGTAACAGTGTCTAGAGATAGTTGAGAATTCTAATGCCTGGGAAGTCCAAAGAGCACAGCACTGGCTGCCCAGTGGAGTCTCCCTTCTGGAGTCACCTCATCTAGAGAAGAAGAAAGGACAATGACCATGTGCAGAAGAGGCAAAACACAGGGATCACGTGTGTTGATCACAGCCTGCTCTTTGAGAATGGGCACACTGCTCAAAGCCATAATGGTCATTTCCAAATACGGGGCTGGGTAATTGTATCACCTACCCAAGATCCCACTTTTTTAAAGGCCCCACAGTCCTAGCACTATACACTGGGAGCTGAACTTGTACAGCACCTTAAACTTTGGGGAAAAAGCAAATCCATACCGTAGCACACAGAGTGGGCAGTTGTGTAAGAAACTACTACTGGGTGCCCCAAGTGATTTGCAGATGTGAACATTTCAAAACAGCAGTAAGCATGAGTTCCTATTTCTCAGATCCTCGACGACACTTGGCCATTCGAATAGCAGCTTGGTGATGTGTCCCTGGGTTTCTCATGGCCCTTTCCCAGGTGACATAGCGTGTGGAGCACCTGCTCACAGTTTTCTTTAACGTTCTTATGTGTTCTTGATGTGTTTACTGTTAAGGTCTTTGTCTCATTTCTAACAAGGTTGTCATATTCATGAGTTAAGATTTCAAAGTGTCTTTTTTCATTATGCTCTTTTGTCATGTACGTGGCTTGTGACTATCTTCTCCAGAGAGTGGCTTATTTTTCAGCTTCTTTAATATGTATTTGAACAACAAAATAATTAATTTAAAAGAAATTAATTTTATCCATTCTGTTATGGATCATGCATTTGATATTGTATTGAAAATGATATCACCAAATCCAAAGTCATGTAGATATTCAACTTTTTTAAGGAAATTTAAATGTAGCTTTGATTACATGTGTGACTCATTTTGTGATAATTATTACAGTGGGAAAAAAATGTTTGTTCCCAAATTCAATTTTGAATGTGAGTGTCCACTTTCTCCAACATGACCTTTTCTTGTTTATGTGGTCTTTTCCCCTTTGCTTAAAATCAACTGAGTTCAATTGCATGTCTATTTCAGGGGTTTCTGTTCTCTTTTGTTGATCTATTTGTCTGCTATTTTTGCAAAAACCATAGTTCCGGATTACTATAGCTCTATACTATACCTAAAGTTCAATCTTGCTAGTTTTCCAACTCTTTCTTTTGTCTTCAGCATTGGCACAGCATTCTGAAATTGCTACCTCTCCATATAATTATTCAAGTCAGTATTTGATACTCATAATATATGATTTTGGAATTTCCATTACAATTGTAGGCAATTTATACATATATATGAACTAACATCTTCACTATAGTAAGCTTTCTTAGACAAGAATTTGGACTAGAAATCTCTCCACCTTTATTTAGATTTTAGATTTATCTCATCCGAGATTAATAACTTTCATTATAGTTTTGCAAGCATTTTGTTAGATTTATAACAAATATTTTAAGTATACCATTCTCAGGATTACAAATTTAAGTGCTATTGCATTTTTAATTTCAATTTTCACCAGTCTTAGCAGTCCTTATATTTCTTATTTCTCATTCTTTTCTGATTGTTTTAGCTAAATCTTCCAAGGAAATGGAGAAAGGAGTGATTACATGACACACTTGCCTTGTTACTTATGTTGATGGGAAATGTCTTGGTTTCTCATTGTTGACTCTAATGGTAATTGTTTTGATTTTTGCAGATTTCCTTTATTAAACTGAGAAAGTCCTCCATATTCCTAGTTTACTGGAATTTCCTTATAATAGATGAGTGTTTTTTTCTCAGTCCTTTTTGCCATCTATTGATATTATCATATGATTTTTTTCAGGCTACTGATGAGATAGATTAAATTAATTGATTCTTAAGTGATAATTTAGTCTTGCATGTCTTAGATAAATACCAATCACTCATGATTCTTAGTCCTTTTTATAAACTGTTAGATTAAATTTGTTGACGATTACATTATCTATATTCATGAGATATGTAATGTTGGTCAGTGGTTTTCTTTTTTGTAATGTCCATCTGGTTTAGTTATTTTTGGTATTTTTAGCTTCATACAGTGAATTAACATGTATTTTGAACTAAAGCTTGGAGAGATTTGCCATAATTTTTTCTTTATGCATTTGGTGTAATTTACTCCTTGAAATCTTCTAGGACTGGTGTATTTTTATCACTACTAAATATTCATAAATTTTATTTAATAACATATCTCTACATATTCATTTTTACTTATTATGGGTTTGGTGCTGTGTGCATCTAAAGAGTTACTCATTTCATATTGGTTATCAAATTTGTATGCAGTTTATCATATTATTATTTTGTTAACCTTTTGATGTCCTGTGTTCTACAGTGAAGACTTAAATGTAGTCTGGTATTATTAACTGATATTCTGTGTCTTGCTCAGCCTGGCTAGATAGTAATTGACTTAATTTGTCTCTAATTTTTTCCATTAAATGTTGTTGTTCTTGTCTGGCAGTTTCTTGTTTTCAATTTTATTGATTTCTACTCTAAGGTCTAATTTCTTTTCTGTTTCATTTGGATTTAATTGCTCTGCCATTTCCAGTTTCTTAGGCAGAAGCTTAGGTAAAGGATTTTAAATCCTACATTTTCTATCATGTGACACTTATGCTGTTAATTTCCTTCCCTTCATACCTTTATGTCTCACTAGATTTGATAATTCATAGCTTTTGATCCTTTCCAATTCTCAATTTTTAATTCACTGTACTTTCAGTCTTAAGACTCAAGGTCCTAAGAGAATGTCACAATTGCTCCTTTATTTGTTTTCTTGACCTTATATCTAATTTTCTTTTCTATGTGAGGTCTGCTCACTGGAGTAATTACATCCTAATTTATGTGTCACCCTAGTCCAAGCATGTGATAAAGGGCAACAGCAGATGAAGTACACGTTGTATTTTGGGTGTCACATAAGTGCCTTTGGGCAGATTTTAACAAAATTTTTCCAATGGTAAAATTACTAGGGGAATGACAAATAGTTAGAGGGATAATTTCAGTCAGTTAGCGTATGCAAAACACTTTAAGTAAAAAGTGACAAGAGAATAGCTAAAGGGTAATAGATTGCACCAAAATATGGAGAATATTGTGTAGTTGGCTAGAAGGTGACATAAACTCCATTTTAAAAGCAAGACAGTGTTTTCTTTCCTTTGTCCTTTGCAGGCTATGCAGATTATGACTGGCTTGATGATCTTCAGCATAGGAATAATAACTCTGTGTGGCACACTGTCCTTTCGTGGACCAAAACCCCTGTCAGTGTACATAGGGTACTCATTTTGGGGATCGGTGATGGTGAGTGGCCTCTTTTTACAGTATTATTTCTACTATTGTCAGTTTTCCAGGAAAACCTCTCCTAACTGTAGCGTATGTGCTATCACTTGGAGACAAGTGTGTTTAACCCTATTTTGTTTCACTTTCTCCCTTAACATAGCACAAAGAACATAACAGACTACATTAGACATAATTATTTCATATCTATTAAGGAAGATGTATTACAGCAGAGTGCAGCTATGGACACAAAGCAGAATGATTTAAAAATTGAAATCTTGGTTTCTTCCAGCAAGCAGCCCAGGGGCAGGTCCCCTGCAGGCTTGGTAAGCTCAGCGTGAGAACCTCATGGAACACAACTGGCAGAGCACACCAATTTAGCAGGCACATGTCATTGCTCGTTAGTATCTTACACATAAATTCTCAAAACAAGGGTCAGCAAAAGCACCTGTCTTTTTATTATGAATGTTCCCTAACACAACTCACTTCTGTAGCTGGGAAGGTTTCCCATGGCTCAGAAGATCACGGACAACTGCAGAAAATAAGAACATTGGCAGTTTGTCAACTCTGCTTATGGTTATCTTAGAAAAACATAATTACTTTAAGATGAACTTTATTTCAGAAATTTACTAAAACTAACTTCAATTAAAATTTAATCAAGATAACAATTTAAGAAAGTTTAAAAATCTTTGCTCAAGTTGAAATGCAAGAGGATTATTTTGAACATTAGAGGATACTCTGAATACTATATATCATGTTTTTCTACTGAGCTGAGGAATATTTAATTAATTTTTGAACTGTGCTGATATAACCATTAGGAACACTATTCTGGTGTTTTACGGTGTCCTTTTTCCTATGAAGTTGAAAATAAAAAAGATTAGAGTTTTATGATAGGCCTGACTTCCTGCTTCTCTTCAGAATATAGAAGTTTAAGATTTGCAGAAGGGAAAATTCTTGTCTACATCTGGAAGCTGCATTATAACAATCTAAATAAATCAATTTGTATTGAACTTTTACTATGACACAGGCAGTCTATTAAGCTTTTATATGCATGCATCCATTTTGATGTCAAACATCACAATCTTCTATGGTAATATTTGTTGTCAGAATTATTGTATGAGAAAGGAAATTCAAAGTTAGAAAAGTTACTAACTTGTCCAAGTCTACTAGGTTTAGGAATCAGGACTCAAAACAGTTAGTCTGTTTCCAGAACAGCATGCCAACTAGTCCAGATTTCAATTTCCACTTTCATTTCCCTCGCAAGACCACTTTGGAATCCCCCTTACATAGATTCTGACTTCTGCACGTTTGATGGATCCCCACGAAGGGCAGCAGCTAAGTTCTCACAAGTGAGCCACTGCCAAGGCATTTCTAACTTCACCTTCTGATTTTTTGTGCAAACATTTCAATGGCACCTTCACACATCTTTTTAATTGTAATTCCCAGCTCACCTGTGCAGTGTCCCCCTTTGTTCCATCCCACAGCACATGCACAAATAGTGGACCTGCTTGATTGCAAATGTCTCTTAGGCTCTTCCATCTCTAGTCCAGCTGTGTGTCTTTTATGACACTCCCACAAATTATTGCCACATTAATCTATTTTTTTCAAGTTTTCTTATAAGTACTTTTGGAATATTGCAAATTTTTATTCATGCCAATCTCTCACACTCATTGTTTCATTTTCTTCAAGATTTTTGTATATGTTTGTTAGTATGACACAAGAGATTGTATTAATAAATCCAGTTTTTAACATACAATGTCACCAGTCTGGAGACTTTTAACACACATACTTTTGGAGACACTCATGACCCAACCTACAGCACAGTTTGAAAGAAAATGTCCCACATTCATGATTTATTTCAGATAAAAGAATGGACAGTACTCTGTGGTTTTTTTTTGAAGGTGATGTTCATGATATCTTTTTTAATTTTAACTTACAATTTCATGAAAGAATACATTTATCAAGCTATTTCATTATTTCATTCACTTTGAAATTAATTTGTCATTTTTAATTTTCTAAAATCAAATGTGGAATACTAATTCAGAAACTTAAAAAAGTTGAATTATATAAGGCAGAGAATTCAAAATCAACTCCAGGCACTTTAGAAAATGGAAAACTGTTTTACAGTTCATGGAGTCAAATAAACTAGTTTATTCCAGTCATCATCAAATGAGGAATCTAAAATTTTCTTTGCCATTATTGTATTCATAACATTTAATAGATACTTTAAATGACAATAGTACTAACTAACTGCTTTTATTTTTATTTGGCTAACATATTATCATAGGTATTGTATTAGTATTACTTCCTTTCAGGAATTTGAATGCCATATTTCTCAGGGATTTTAACAGTTTTAAGAACATCGCTGTTAACTGTATTTTGAAAAACTTGATAAATTCTACCATGAATCTATCTCATAAAATTCTTGTGTTATTCATTGGAAGATTGAAACCATAATCAGCAAATGTTGGTGTTTCTTTTAAACTGTTGTTCTATTTAACATGTTGACAGATTTTAGAAGTCAGTTTTTATAAATTATGATTTGTAATAACTTTTTGAAGTTTTTACCTGACTTTTTCCTTCCATTCCTAGTTTATTGTTTCAGGGTCTTTCTCAATTGCAACAGCAAGAAGAACTACAAAAATTTTGTGAGTTCTACTTTATTTTATTTCAATGTAAAAAGGGAACGATTTAATTAAATATGCATTCTGGCTAGAAGTAAACTGAAGATTGTTTCTTAAAATTCAAGAGGCATGAGCTTTACCTTGAAGTATTGTTCAATAATTATATTCAAATGCTAGGATAATCACTGTTTATCAGGTACTAAATGTTTTGGGGAGATTGTCGCTGAGGGAGTAGCATGGAAATGCAGAGGCTCTAGAGAAGCAAAGTGAAGGAGAGTCAGCTAGAGTAGCTTGAACTCAAGATTGAATCCAGGACAGAAGCACCAAATAATGTTCATTAATTAAAAGTCTATTTCAACTGCACCCAGAAAGAGTTTTGAGTTTTCCATTTCTCCATGAACTTTTCCTCAAGAAAAAAATTTAAATTATTACTCATGCCAATGTGCTTTTCACAATGCTAGTTTCAGACAGTATGTCTCTGTCTATATTCATATCTCCATCTATCTGTATCTAGATTATAGATAGATAGATAGATAGATAGATACATACATACATACATACATACATACATACATACACAGATACATAGATACATAGACAGACAGATAGATGGATTACTTACTGAAAATGTAAATATAAAACTGTACTGTGATCAATATTAGCTTTCCAAAATATGGCCTCTAACATTTCCTCTGGCTACAACCACTGAAGGGTACCTCATACAACATTCATGCTGAACCTCTCAGCATTTTCTGAGATATTTTCATTCTCATAGAACATTTATTCCAACTTAAAAAGAGATTGGACAGAAAAAAAGGTACAATGTAAGGCATAATGTGTGAAATGTAGAGAGCCACAAGGAACAGGCTTCATTTAGGAAATGGTGAGCACTCAGCCCTGAAGTAGGGCTTGACAGGAGGTGCAAAGAAGGGCTGTGCAGCCCAGGTACAGAGGACTTAAAAATATCAGCAATGAAACTTGGAGTTGATCTCTTGAACTCGTAGATATCATCTGAAAGAGTAAAACTAAGAAATAACAGGGTCATGTTTTTTTTTTTCTTGGCAAGGGATTAATCATTTCAAATTTAGGGAAAGAGGTCACTGAAATACTGAAGACAGTATGAAATATGCTGGGAAACAAATGGAGGAGGCTCACATGGGTAGTGGAGACATGGCTAAGCACTCCTCTGGGTTACTTAATTGACTTACTCTTTTGCAGGTCCAAGCCAGTCTAAGCTTGAACATCACCAGCTCTGTGCTTGCTGGAGTAGGAATGATAACCACTATGGTCAGCTTCAGGATATTTGCACACATCCCCTTCATCTGCTATCATCAGTCACATGAAAACTGTCCACTGACAACAACTATTTTAATAGTGAGTGCTTCCTCTTCTCACAAAATACTAATGTAGCAGTAGTGCAGAGCACTGGTTCTGGCAGAACCAGAGATCAGTACTGGCTAATGCTGGATCTTTTGGGGAAATGAAGAATCCAGTAAGAAATACAACGAACTCTTATATAAGAGTCATGCTTCATGCTCATACAGCATCTCTCTTCATCCTCTAAAGTCATGGGGAAAGAAAGAAAGCAAAGTCAAGAGAAAAGAAAGCACATAAGGACACAACACATGTTCTGTAGCAGTCCTTGTGCATGGCACGTTGGCAACATTTTTACTGTTTAGTTCCAATTCACTGGTCCATATCTTGTTATCTCATCTAACCTAGAAGGCAATGCCTGTCCTCAAATGCCACCAGTGCTTCCTGATGCAGCCCAGTGGAGTTATATGGTTCTCTCATGATAAAAGAGAATTGTCTTGAATGCTATGCTACATGCTGGGAGTATCACACTGCACATGCTTGGGTGTTCTTACAACATTTACTATTTTAGCCTCAACATTCAGCTCCTGGAAAACTCTCAAACTTCTGTTTGTGTTTTGTCATTTCATTTTGCATCATTTGCCCTTATGTAGATGATATTCTCATTGCTTTCTTCCAAATTAACACTTACACAAACTCTTTCAAGTAGTAAAAGCTCTTGGAGATATTGCCCTGGAGTGAGTGCAGGGAGGGGAGCCATTTCAACACATGCTGTCACATCTTTACTACTGAAATGTTGGCTGGCCATCAACATTTTTATGTTTCCTATTATCTTCTGTCCATGTGAAATTCCAGATTCAGCTAGCAGGTTAGTTGCATCTTTCCTCCTCTTCTCTCACCTCAGTGTAGAAACTCACCCTTTCAGCATCATATTCTGCAAGATTAACTATAGTGTTTATTTTTATTGCTTATTAATTCTCTACAGGTCTTGAGCCTTGTTTATTCACACCAAAATAATGTCCTCCAATAAACAGTAGAAGAAATCTTTGCCTTCTACTTCTTTCCTGATGAAGGATCAATATCAACAATCATAAAGAATTTTTTTAAAAATTAACACCAAAGGGGCTGGGGATTTAGCTCAGCAGCATAAGTGCCTGCCTTGCAAGCAGGAAGTTATGAGTTCGATCCCTGGTACCGATAAAAAGGAAAAAGACAAAAAAATTAACACCAAAATATCATATAACCTAATAAATAAATAGACAATAAATTAAACAGACATTTCTCAGAATAAATTGGTAAAATGATCAATAACCAGATGGCAAAAAGTTCATGATCTTTAGCCACTAGGCAAATATAAAGCAAATTTACATTGAGATTCCATCTCATGGCCCTCAGAGTGCTTGTCACTGAGAATACAAAAGAAAAGAAAGATGAAAAAATGTAAGGGGAGAAGGAATTCTTCCCCATGCTGCAGGAAATATAAGTTAATATAGCCACTATGGAAATTAGCATAAAGTTTCATTGAAAACCAAGACTAAAGCTGCCATATGACTCAGGTTAACATAAGGAATACCCATGAAGGAACTGAAGTCAGCATACTGCAGGGACACCTGCACCCATATGTTTCTTGTGGCACAACTCGCAATAGCTATGGTATGGAAACACCCCAGGTGCCCCTAGTAGCTACATGGACAAGTATGGTATACACACAGAGGGAGGGGCACAAATCTGTGTCTTTTGCAAGAAATGGATGAAACTGGAGATCACTACATTAAGTGAAATAAACCAGACTCACATATTCATTCCATCTTTCTGGCCACTTTCCAAAGCAGTCCTGAAACTCCTATTTTGGGTCCTTAGTTGTACTGTTGTGGCTTCCTTAAAGTCATTCCAAATGTTTATCTTTCATTGTCATTTTGACTCTGAGAAAGTCTCAAAAGTCACACAGTGCCAGATCTGGTGAATAAGATGGATGAGGACACAGCATCATGTCTTCACTCACCCGTCTTTCTGTGGGATGGCACTGAGCAACAGTGTTCACTGGCTTTTTTTTTTTTGGCACTGGGGATTGAACTCACAACCTTGCATTTGCCAGGCAGGTGCTGTTTCACTGAGCCATAGCCCCAGTCCATCCACTATACTTTTGATCCTGCTTCGCGAAGACACTCATGAAAGGGGACTTCCAGTGCTACTTCAGAAAGTGACAAAAACAGTGAGCTAAGTATGTCTGAAGTGAGTGGTATATTTTGATGGGGATGACTGGCAGTATATTTTGGTAGAATCTTGTAATCATAAAAAGAGCATACAAAATATGAATCCTTTGTACAAAAAATAATCTCTAGACTTAACAATATAAATTTCCAGTGGTCCACTAGCTCTACTTTTAAGACAAAGATAGCAGTATCATAAGGCTCAGAACAATATATTCTGTATCATGTGTAGGTAATATTTATTTTTTGTTTGTTACCAAGGATTGAATTAACAACCATGTGCCTGCCAGACAGGGGCATATGACACTGAGCTAACTTCCCTGCCCTGTAATATTATATATAGCTCCTATATATATCATAATGTTATGGTATGTATGTGGGTTTTATGGCTGCCTTCTTATATGGACAGACAGAAAGTTATATTTGTTTAATTCATAAGTGGATGATGACTTTGGAAGAGGGTATAGGATTGACGTGGAGATTCAGCTACAACAGAGACAGAGATTATAGGTACAGATACAGATGATAGAGATACAGATGTAGATATTTACCAGTTTTTTGGAAGTCTAGCCTGTCACTTGATTTTGTAAGTAAAATCAAATTGATCTATATAACCAAGTCCAATGGTTGACCTCCTGAGTGATGTTGCTCCTGTGTTCCAGGCTTAGAGTTGGGTCCCCACAACAAAACATAGGAGCTGCAAACCTAAAATACATACACCCCATGTTTTTCTAATTCCTAGTCTCCCCTACTAGATGGCAAGGTCCTTGGGGTCAGGGAATCATCTTTTCTATTTTGCTTTCCATATCTAAGCCGACATCCATGCCTGGCATGCAGAGGCTGCTGAGTCTACTGAAGGCATGAGTGACTAAGGCAAAGCATGAAGATGTTCCTACAGTCTAATGAGTCTCTGTCTCTCAGGAGCTGAGTTCATGGCCATGGTTTCTTCCACAGTAGAGAGAGTGTCTCTAAACATCGAGAGGAAAATACAGAATATTTAAGCCCAAGGAACTCCAATCCATCCAGGTTAATATATTAGGAATAAACTTTATGCCTGCATCCCTCAAGATTGAGCCAATATTCTGGATGAAAATAAGCTTAAAGCAATTGCCTTTGCATGTGAATTAAACAGGTGTTCATTATAGCTTATTTTTATTATTGTAGGTTAGACCAATTCCTACTAATTTAGTAGATACCTAAAATTTATTATCATTATATTGTGGAGTTCTGAAGTTCAAAAGTTCAAAATAGGTCTCTTTAAGTTAGCGTCAAAGTCCCGTCAGCACTATAGTTCTTTCTGGGTGCTTTAGGGAAAATCCATTTTCTAGGTTTTAGGCCTACTTCCTAAATTCTGTTGCCTATTGCACTGTCCCCTATCTTCAAATCAAACAGCAGCATCTTTTACCCTCTTGTACTTTAATAATTGTGTCATCACTTTCACTTATTTCAACCCAGATGAATAATGCTATCTAATCCCTCTAATTTCAACTGTAAACAATTCTGTTTGCAAGACAGTTACTTTTGCCTTATAACAGCTTCAGTGTTTAAAGATTAGAGAACTATTATCTTCAATGGTAACTGCATGATAGGATCATATGATTATGCCAACGATATAGAATTTCTAGTGCTAAAAGGACTAACATGATAGCAATATTTAAAGCAGCTACAAATGCCACTCTAAAGCACTTTCATATTTTATTTCCATAATGAGAATTAAAAGTAGTGAGAAAATATTGATCATTTTATCAGTGCAAATAATAAGAGAATAACTGACATCCAGTATGTAAAGAATTTGCCATGGTTCAAGAGAGGTATAAGGAACCAGGGCCCAGACTACCAAATAGAGTTGTTTGTCTCTGGCCAGTATAATGAGTACAGAATATTTGAGACTGTGATCTCCACTCATTTCTGTGTTTTGAATTGATTTTAAGGCACTAGAGGGCGTGGTGCTCCTGCTAAGTACACTGGAATTATGTGTGGCTCTCTCCGTCTCTTCATTTGGGTGCCAAGCGGTCTGTTGTTATGTTGGTGGGGTGAGTACTGACCTTTGCTTTCTGATGTTAGTAGTAGTTTCCTATTCCTGTGTCATCAGGCACACAAAATGCATGATTATTATCCCTGTTTATGCACAAAGGTATGAACACAGTCAGCTCAGCTCCCTGCTCAGGGAATTACCAGGCTGTACCCATGGAGCTGGCCAGGCTAGGTTCCCATTGGACTTCCTTGTCTTCTTCCATGTTCAGCCTAAAGAACCCTTTTCACATATTGAACAAAAGCCAATAAACAACTTTTGAGGACAGAAGGACATCAAACATCTTAAACTTTTTAGGGTGCTTTTACAGTGGTCACACAACTGTCAGGTTCACCCAGGATAATGTCCCTTTGGTATACTCAACATCAGCTGATGGAGAGAAAACCCACCACATCCATGCATCCATCCACACTCATGCGGAGGCAGTCCCAAGAGTCTGATACCTTGAGAGTAATTAAAATTATGCCTATTGGAATAGCCAAAGAAAGCTCTTTTCCTATCTTCACTACATGAAGATCATCCCTCTGAGTCCAGATCAATGCACCCCTCATGCAGAGAGGTTCTCAGACTGAGCCACCTGTGACTCCCTTACCCTATTACAGAAACCATTTCTGGTTCCTGGAGAACTGCCAGGCATCAATGTCACAAGTTAGACTGATCCTCAGAGACTCAGCTTCAGCCACCAGGTTCTCAGGCTGACATCTATCACTGAAAGTGTGATCTAGACAGCCTATTATGGTTTAAACATTGTGTCAACTTGAGAAATCTATATGCTTCATATAGAGCTTCTATATGCTAAGTGATTCAGCAGCTTTACATTATATCCTAGGGTGTAAAGAACAAACCATTACTGTTCTAGGATATTGTTCATTGTGTCAATTTGAGGTCAGAAGTTTAACTAAGTGATTCAGCAGGGGGTGATGGTTGCTATTTTGTAATATTTTCATCCTGTAAAAGAGGAGGGCACACATATGGTGTGAGTGCTAACCCTACCCCAGGTGAGTAGTCTGCATATGATAAAAAGCAAATGAACAGGACCTGATTGCTGGTTCTTTGAGGTTTTAGTTGATACTCAGGTGGCTACAAGGCAGGGTGGTGTGACTGATTGACAGCCATTCATGGTGGCAGCAAGCAACAAGAGCAAAAAAAGCAAAAAGTGAAGAGTACCCCTATTTCCATCACTTAAGTTGTATTCCTGCTATCCACCCCTGGGAGGGTGCGGCACTCACACTACCAATCACAGTGCTAGGCAGCAAACCAGTCACAAATGCTAGACTCAACAGCCTCCATGACTGAATGAGGCTTGGGGTGAGAGGCGCATCGAAACACAAGCTGTAACATAGTCTAAACTAAGGGAAACCTGAGAAGCCCACCTCATAGGTCCTGAGATTGAATTCAGGAAGAAATCGTAAAGATGTTGAGTAGGGAGCAGAAACCTTGAGGTTATTTGGTCACTCACCTATGACACTGTGATTGGTTTCACAGGTTGTGCTAGTTCTACCATCATATCCTCCCACCACAGAAACAGCATCCTCAGCATCACTGGAAAGAGATTCGATGCCTCCAAAATATCCAGGGTAAAGTGTCCCTGGAAATGTTCCCTGACTTCAATGCTAAAACTATATGTAGAAAACCACCTGAATCCAACTGTGGTGTGTGTGTCTGTGTGTATGTAGGTTCAGAACTATGTTATCTTGTCTTCCCAGGAACTTGACAAATCTTTTTCAATTGCCTTAAACAGAATACCAGATACTGAATTAAAACTATGCATTTATTTAATTGGACAACAGCACTTGAATGACTTTTATTCATGTGCTGGACTCAATGTAAGGGAATTAGTTTGCAGAACCTTAGGCAACAAATGGGTGAGATGTTTCTGAAATGAGGCCTCCTTGCAAGCTCTATATCCGCTTCTCTGTTTAACAGCCCTGCTTGTCTGATTTCTTTATTTTTAACCCACAGTTGGAGAATTTTGCCTTCCAGAAAATTAAATATGTCTCCCTTTATTTTGCTTCCTTTTTCTCATACAAAGTATATGGAAGAATGTAGGCAGCCTTTGAATATGGATGAATTTTTGTAAACTACTTGGCAGGATTATATCTTAATAAAATATACATCCAGAGCCAAATATACAAGATGGCATAATGTGTGATAGTCATTAGTTATACATTAAATGTGTCAGTTTTTGTCCTACAATGCTGAAACAAATAAATTCAGAAGTGGTATATTCATGTGTGACCTAATTCTCTTCCTGGTGGAATATCATAGAAAAGATAATGGTAACAGGAAATATAGAAACTTACTGAAGAACATGGGTTTTCCGTCTGTCCTGCATTTTTATATTGAAAATCACATCTCTGTTATTTGCTTCTTGTATAAGGTGAATATAATACAAAATTTCCCTATACATCATATTTCTACTGTGTACAAGGGAGAAAAAGATACCATCAGGTTTATAGAGCTATAGAGACAACTTGCTGTTACATGAGTAACATCAGTACATGATCATCTATGATCCTTGAAAATTTTACATTAAACACACACATGAATATATGCACACATGTATATACTAAGTACCCTCATTTATCATTTTACCCAACACATGTTTATAAAGTGTCTATAATGAGGCAGATATTATTCTAAGCAAATGAGACAATACTGCTGTCCAGGAAAGCCAATGTCCTTCCACTGCTGTAGGGTATAATTTTAGGGAGTGGATATATATATGAACACATAAACCATCAAAATATTTTGCGTGTTGTTTCAAGCTAAGTGGAAAGTCTGTAATCCCACCGGTGCTCAATCTCCAGGGCAGTCTGCCGAGGGAGGTGATGCTGTCAGGAGGGAGTCACGCTCTGATAGCTCCTCCCTCACTAATGAGACTGTGACCTTGGCCTCTCAGGACTTGGCCCCTATTGTCTCTCTTCCTCCTGTCATGCAAGGATTCAGCATTCACAAAAATAAAATGAATACAAAGGCTAGGACCTCAACGAAAACCTATTTTATTGATCTCTCTTTGGACTTTCAACCTCTCACATTATGAAAAATAAATTTCATTTATATCCAGAAATCCATAACTAGAATCCAGAATTGAAATAAATTTCAATTATATGCAGAAATAAATTTCATTTATTTTATCCAGTTATCAAACATGTTGTTACAGTGGCACATACCTAAGCCGATAGTTGACTGATTTCCAGCAATAATATCAAGAGGAAATAAGAAAGGGAAGGGTAGTCTCTTCCAAACTGATCAGGAAAACTGGATTCATACATGCAAAACTGGATGCTCATCTTATACCTTACACAAAGCAATTGAAAATGTGTAAGAAACCTAAATATAAGTCCTGAAATTGTAGAACTCATTAGAATTAAAACGGGGAAATCCTTTGACCTTGGACTTGGCAATGATGATTTTGGAAATCACATCAAATCTCGGCTACAAAAGTAAAAATAATTAAATGCAATTATATCAAACTAAAATTTCTGTACATAAAAGCAAATCATGAAAAAAAATCAAAAAGGCAACATATGAGCTGGGAAAGATGTTTATAAACCATATATCTGATTTGGTTAATATCCAAAATTTGGAGCATGTACATAAAATTTAATTTTGGAAAATAACAAGCCAACTTAAAGACAGGAAAAAGACTTGCACAGCTAAGTAGCAAAGAAATTTATCAAAACATCTGGAGATCACTAATCATCAAGGAGATTCAAACCAAAGCAATAGGTTCACCCTCACTGCAGAAGGAATAATTGTTATCAAAAAATGAAAGGGCAGTGCTGGGCAGATTATGGACAAATGAGAAGACGTATACACTCACTGTGTTCATTGGTATTCTTATCCTATACTAAGTTTCCTCATAAAATGAAATATGACCTAGTTTTTCCTCTTCTTGGTATGTGACCAATGGAAATTAAACGCACACTCATTAAGAATTCTGGCCTCCTGATGTCACTGAAGCATAATGAACAAAAGCAAAGAGGTAGAAATGACCCAAGAGTGTCCACTGAGATGCATGATGAAAACAGTGTGTGTCTATAAGGATCAGCCTGAAAGAAGAGCATCTGTCACTTTCCACAATATGAATGAGACTAGAAAGCATTCAGCACAGTGAAATTACCTGAACAAAGGCAGGAAATCATCCCATAATCTCACAGATATGTGGAATCTAAAAGGAAAAAAATTGAAGCATACAGAATAAAACAGTGATTACTAAAGGTGCAGGCAAGGGTGGGGGGGTCAATGGGAATCGGTAGGTTGAAAGACACAGCATAGTGGGTGTGCAGCTGAGCAAATTGAAAGATCTGCAGTACAACATGAGGACTAAACTTTTGGGGGGGTTGTGCTAAATGTGTAGACTCTAGATATTTCTGACACACCCAGTTGAGCCACTGTGACACAGTAGTTATGTTAATCTGATTCACTGCATTAATGATTTTATTATCTATATGCATCTGATAATATCACATCATATCCTCAATATACACTGCAAATTCTGTAAAAGAAGAAAGTGAATGATGTCATGGTACTTGGTTTGCAAATAGTACATTACTCCTAAGTAAAATTTTCTCCCATATTGACTTAACACTGCTATTATATTTCCAATCTTACAATAACCTGATATAATCTATAATACATACTATAATTTCCTCCTACAGTCCCAAGTTTTATATATATATATATATATATATATATATATATATATATACATATATATATATATATATACATATATATATATATATATTGTTTTTTATTTAAAAAGAAAAACAAAACTAGACCAAGCAAGACAGTAAAAGGCTAGAAGCAATACAGAATTTCAAGAGAAAAAACATATAGTAAGAGTTCACCAGTTAATAGATCACACATTGTCAATTTACAAACAGCTGTCCAGATTACAAAATTAAAGCATACAAAGTGGAGATTAATACAGTGAGATTGCAGTCAGTTCTGTTCTATGATCCAAGAAAAACTCAGCAATATGGATCTCTTTCCTACACATTTAAATAAACTTGCAGTTATATCCTTGAGATCACTTTCCTTCCTCTCTTTTTTACACTAACAATTGCGCATTTTAGTTTCCATTACTTCCACAGTTTTTTTAACTTTTTCTTTGAAGAGGGAAAGATAAAAGATTGAAAAAAAGGCCAAAAAACAAAAAACAAAACAAGATGGACCAAAGAAAAACCCAATGTGACAAAGCAAAACAGAGTCATTTAGATCAGGAGGATGGACATAGCATAAAATGAAAATAAATAAATAAATAAATAAATAAATAAATAAATAAAATAAAGGGGGGATTACTAGGTGATCAACAATGGTTACCATTATGCCTCTTGTTATCCTAAAAAGAGTAGCCTGTATCAGCTAGTATAAAAGAATTGAACAAAACTGTACATAAGACCAATAAAACCACGTTGGAGAGCTTACAGGATTCCAAAGAAGATAATAGTCAAATAATAACGGGCATCATAGAATATCTGGTTGCCTTCCAAATGTTGCCTATACCCTCAAACTTGATACTATTAAGTGAAACAGAATATCATAAAATCAGTCAGAACAAGATATGGAGAACACTACAGGGGTTCAAATCAGGTTAATAGGGAAACAAAAAATTACTATAATCTATCGCACTATTTTTAATTTAATTTTCCCTTAGTTAAAAGATACTAAGAAATAAATTATTTTTTTTTAAAAAAAGGAAAGAAAAAGGGGGGGAGACTGAGATTAAAAAAAAAAAACAGCATCAATATAACAACACCGGTCAGAATTGAAAATTTAACCATCATTGTGTTTCACCCCCAGATAGCTTGACATTAATAGTAGTTAACATAGTGACTTTCCTTGAAATATTTGAGTCTAATTTCGTATACTATAGCATCAAATTTATCAAGACAGGTGAGACCATTCAAGAGCATGAAATTTTTGCAGGGAATTTAAAACCAGCTAGCAGAAAGCAAACGTCAATTTCTATATTATCTCTTTATCTATAAAAAACTTGCTTATAATATCGCATACATTAAGATATAATAAGATACCACATGTTAGAACCAATGGAAACAAATGAACAAAAACTTGATGGGGCTTCAAAACAGGATGATATTAAATCAGTGCTAGCTATTACGCTCTTATTCTCTTTGAAATAGTCATTTGTAGTATCACAGACAATAAAATAAAAACACCCAAATAAAAACCATTCTAAGTAATGAGTGAAAACATTATATGGCTTCAAACCAGTGTGACTGGGAATCATGATTACCACGTACTTTCATGTATTCTTATCGTTTCTTACACTAGGGAAACTATTTGGTATTTACACAGGTGAGTTTGATTTATTTCACTAATAAGTATGGTCTCGAGCTGCGTCCATTTATTTATAAATGTCTCAATGTGATCATTCTTTATAGCTGAATAGTACTCCATTGTATAAAAATACCACAACTTTTTTATCCATTCCTCAGTTGATGGACAGTTAGTTTGTTTCCAAGATCTGGTTATTACAAATTGTGATGCTATAAACATGGGTGCACATATATCACTGTGGTATGATGCTTTCAGTTCTTCTGGGAATATGCCTAGGAGTGGAATAGCTGGGTCAAATGGTGCTTCCAGTCCCAGCTTTCTGAGAAATCTCCAGACTGACCTCCACAATGGTTGCACCAGTCTACACTCCCACGAACAGTGCAGGAGAGTTCCTTTTTCCCCACAGCCTCTCCAGCATTTGTTATGGGTGGTTTTCTTAAACTTGGCCATTCTTTAAGGAGTGAGATGAAATCTCAGTGTGGTTTTAATTTGCATTTCTCTAATGACTAGTGATGCTGAACATTTTTTCATATATTTATTTGCCATTTGTATTTCTTCATCTGAAAATTGTTTATTCATCTCAGATGCCCATTTTTGGATGGGGTCTTTGAATTTTGGGGGTCTGATTTTTTTTTTAATTCTTTGTACGTTTTAGACAGAAGTCCTTTGTCTGAGGGACAGTTCACTAGGATTTTTTTCCCAGTTTGTGGGTTTTCTTTTTACTATGTTAGAGATTTCTTTCGATGTGCAGAAACTATTTAATAAGATGTGATCCCAGTTATTGACTCTGGGAAGTATTTCCCGTGCGGTTTGAGTCTTGTTCATTAA